GAGCCAAAGTTGGATGCTCAACCGACTGAGCCACCCGGGTGCCCTGTGCACCTAAGTTTATCTTGCCTTTGGAGTCCCTGAATGATCTAACCCAGTGGTTCTCGACCGGACGTGAATTTGTCCTCCAAGGGACAGGTGGCAATGTCTAGATATTTGCAGGTTGTCACAACTGGGGAGGGTGTTGTGCTGGTGATATCTAGTGGATGGAGGCCAGGGATACTGCTGAACCTCCCAGAAGCACAGGACAGCCCGTCCCTACATCGACAATCACCTGGTCCAAATGTCAATAGCACCGAAGTTGGGACACCCTGTATAACCTCTATGATAAACTCATCAGCCTCAGCATTTTGCACTCTCGATTCCAGCCACACTGTTCACGTCCTGGTTACGCGAAAATGCCAAGCTCTTTGCCTCATCGCGGCTTAGGGGCATGTTAAACATGCTGCTATTCCTTCGTGAAAACTTCTTACCGCCGGGTATAATCTCAAATGTCCAACGGAAAGCTCCATGAAACCATCCCGTGAAGGAGATCCTTCAGCTAGCATTCCACCTCAGTGCCTCAGGAGGCAGACACAGTACAACCATGGGCTGGTGGGAGAAGATAAACGAGCTTCTGCGAGCTTGTGAGCAAGTCACGCTACGGAGGGGACGGCTCCAGCTTGATGAGCCGCAATTAGGAAAGGCCAGGCTGCTGGGGGAAGGGAAGAGAGGGTTCTGGATCCTCACCACATCCTGTGTCTCTGCTCCCACTCCCTGCAGCGTCCCTCCTGGGCTACAGAGCTCTGGACGGGCTGAAGGACCATGGCCCCGTCCCTGTCTGCCCTTCTCGGTCTCGGTGAGTCCTGAGGGCTGTTCTGGGAAATGCCGCGGGACAGGCAGTGGGCTATGAGACTCAGAATGTTTTGAAAAATTGGATCGGAAATGAATTTCAGGGCAATTCAGGGGACCTATGAGGGCGCCTTCCTTTGTTGGGTGGGAAAACAGGGCCCCAGGGAGGTGGTGTTTGTCTGTTACTCTGTTATATTCTCTTCATGGCTCGGTTGGGAACGGTACAGGTCTTCTGCTTGGGGTTCTAACTTTGTCTCTATGTACCATGTTTTAAAAATTAATTAATTAATTAATTAATTAATTAATTAATTTTTTAAATATGGACTTGGTGACATCAGGACTAGATTCTGTCAGCAAACCCTGCAGCACTGGAGGAAATAATCCTGCCATTCGCAACAACGCAGACGGACCTTGAGGCCACGACGCTAAGCGAAATAAGCCAGGCGCAGAAAGAAAACACTGCATGATCTCACAGATATGTGGCACCCCGGAAAGTCTAGCTCACTAAGGCAGAGAGAGTAGACCAGTGGTTGCCGGGGGTTGGGTGGGGGGGAAACAAGCAGGTAGATGGACAGAGAACAAACTTCCAGTTATAAGATGAATGAGTTCCTATTTCTCCAGAAGAACGTTCTTGCTAAAAGGACAGAGGCTCCAAGGGGTCAAGCAGGAAGGAACAGCTGTGTCCTGGGGATAAGAAAACGCCATGAGCACAAACCGCCTGTCAGTCATTCGTTAACACACCCTCATGTAACACTTACTATGGGCTGGGTGTTATTCCATGTTTTTTTTCTTTTTTTAATGTGTGTTTATTTATTTTTGAGAGAGAGAGAGAAAGCACAAGCTGGGAGGGGGGAGAGAGAGAGAGAGAGAGAGACAGAGAGAGAGAGGGCAAGCAAGCACGGAATCCAAGAACCACGAGATCATGACCTGAGCCGAAGTCAGAAGCTTAAACAAATGAGCTACCCAGGTGCCCCTCGACTAATTTTTTTTTAATCAGTTAGCTTAACAATTTTATTAATGTTCACCTATCTCATCTTTACTCTGGTATATGTTATAGCTCAGTAATTTTGCTTAACAGAGAACAGCTACCTTTGCCCTATCCCGATGTAACCTCACTTATCCTCTCACCGCGGCCGCTGCTATAAGCTTACTACAGAAGCTTAGCACATCTCAGGTGGACTATGGATTAAGATTCTGTTTTCCTCATCCACCGGTGTCTCCAAGTCTTTTTTAAAAATTTTTATTTATTTTTGAGAAACAGAGAGTGTGAGCGGGGGAAGGGCAGAGAGAGAGAGAGAGAGAAAGACACAGAATCTGAAGAGGCTCCAGGCTCTGAGCCATCAGCACAGAGCCCGATGTGGGGCTTGAACTCACAGACCGCGAGATCATGACCTGAGCCGAAGTCGGACGCTCAACCGACTGGGCCCCCCAGGCGCCCCACCGACTCCAATTCTTATCAGACACCATGGCAGGCAGATCTCAATGTGCAGTGCGGGTAGATTCTTCTATTTCAGGAGCTCTGTAGTGCTTGCTTAAAAGCATAAAATCCTTAGGATCATTCAAAGCCAATGCAGACTGGCCTTTCACTGCTGTCCTACATGAACCAGCTGTATTTATTTATTTATTATAATTTTTTCAATGTTTAAAAGTTTATTTATTTTTGACACAGAGAGAGACAGAGCATGAGCAGGGGAGGGTCAGAGAGAGACAGTGAGAGACAGAATCCAAAGCAGGCTCCAGGCTCCGAGGTGTCAGCACAGAGCCCGACGCGGGGCTCGAACTCACGGAGTGTGAGATCATGACCTGAGCTGAAGTTGGGCACCCAACCGACTGAGCCACCCAGGTGCCCCCGTGTTTTGTTTTGTTTTGCTTTTTTAAATTTTTTTTCAACGTTTTTTATTTATTTTGGGGA